AGTTCAAAACACATGTTTGTGAAAGTTGTTATAATTTGTTTATTGGTATGTTAAAGTTTTGAAGATGTTTTTGGCAGTACATGGTAGCATTTTAAACTAATTTGCAATGGTACATACAAATCGTTTAATGTCGGTAATCTGCAGACAACAGCAGAATATATTGTGGTAAATACACGTCCAAAAGTCATACAGAGTGCGTCGTTAGCACATTGGACAATGCATTCTTTCGGCTAAGGAGGATGAAGTTCTTCCTTGAATATTAAATAGCTAAAAAACTAGTTTATAGGAAATCCTACTTAAATTTCAAATAAGGTCTCAAAATACTAAGTAGAGCAAGGTTTATTTTTACTGACCACGCATCGCACTTTAGTTTAGTTGACTTTAAGAATTCAACCATGAAGTGTTTAAAAACTATTTTTTATAATTATTAACAGGCGTACTTAAGGAATAAGACGCGCGTAGTTTAGTTCGTAAAATGTTGCCTTTACTTTTGACTTTGTTTTTCACAAGTGCAAGATGCAGTACGTCAAGAAAAGGAAGAGACACTTATTTAGCCGCCTATAAGGACTCTCATGGTGGTAGTGTTAATGTAATTGATAAGGGAACTCAAATTGATAGGGGACCTCTTCCTAGCGGACCCAGTGGTTTTGGGGCGCCGCAAAATCCGTATCCTGGTCCTGTTCAAAATTACGGACCACCTCAACAGAATTACGGACCCCCTAGACCCCCGGTTTATCAGCCACCCCAACCCACTTACGGACCACCAATTCAACCCTTCTACGGTCCTCCTCCTCAGCCTGTGTATGGTCCACCTCAACCTGTATATGGACCCCCTCAAATACATGTTTATGGACCTCCACCACCCCCACCAAGGTAATTAATTTTAAAATTTATTGAAAATTTGAGCGTAAATTACAAGTGATACATTTTTTGTATTAGTAACGGACATTCCCCAGTGCATGTGCATAATTATCCACCGCAAGTAAATTTTCCAAAAACATACGGTTTGTCAGGATTAATAGAGAAGTTCAAGCTTAAGCTCAATATTCTGACGATTTTAAAAATCCTATTGAAAATAGCGCTCTTTAAAAAGCTTGTAGCCTTTATGGGGATAATATTTTTGCTTTTGTTCATCCCTTGGATAAAAGACCACGCTATACACCCCACCGAAAATAATGGAGGAAATGGGGGTGATATTATTGATGAACCTGATGAAATGATGGAGTACAAGAAATTTAGCAACCAACCTTCAGGTATATTATTGCACAAGAAAATAGACGAAAATTGATTTAATGAAGAGTTTTACATATCTTCCTAGTGTTTCCCTTGGGTATTCGCTTTTATAATATTGTTTTTCAGATTTTTACTTAAATAATCTAGCAGGGTATGTTCACGAAGCTTTGGATAAATTTGGAAAAATTAATAACAGAGATAAGAACTGCGAGTCGATATATTGCAAAGTTATTAAAATAGGGGATGGAATTAACCAGACGAATTCTTCTGCAAAGTAAGTATCTATTTGTAACAAAAAATGTTTACTAATATTGAAAAGATTTTCCTAAAATTAAAATTTTACTTCTTTACCCGTTTTTTCTAGATTGGCAAAGGCATATCTTCAGGAAGAATAATAGTCAAGAAGCTTTGTGAGAAGTTACCACTGTAAATTACATGTATAGCTACGTTAAAACTACGAAACAACTAATTGCTAACAAATTATTTGACTTATTTATTTATTTGTACAGACAATAAAGACATACATAAAGAATTAATAGTATTTCCTTTAATAGCAATTGAATTATTTTGTGTGTACTGATTCGATAACAAAAAGTATGAATATCTTGTTTATTTTAATTGCAAAAAGAGAGGCCACAGTCGCTCCTACGGGCTGGTAAATCAAAGTCGATATTAGTGTAAAGTGAAGGTACAAATCTTGCATTCAAGTTCGGGTTTGTTTCCCCAGGAGCATCGGACCTCCCTCGACCGAGTATCTTTTATAATGTGCTATATTCTACTTTTCAGTTTTTTTTCGTGGTGAGAGCTAATGTTGTAAATTACATATTTACTAAATAAGCACTTACTTTTAGCTAAACGTGCTCTACAAAAATAAAAGAAGTTTTAAAATATTGTCACTTTAATTCATCCTAATTAATGGTTCAGTACAGTAGTTCATAAAAAAATAAGAAAATATGACGCACTCATTGGTTTACACTTTTACATTGTGAAACAAACTTTAGATAATCATAGGTTGCTAGATGTATACGTCGTTTTAGAGATTGTTTAGTATTCCTAAAGATGCCGCCGTCAGTTTTATGAAAGTTTAATTTCCATTTTCTTTTGGTTTCAAATCAATACGTGAAAATTTGAATTAACAAATCAATAACTACTGATTATTATAAACTTTCAAGTAGGATAGTATATAATTAATTATCAAAAAAAAAAGCAGTTTTTGCCAGTAAATATTCTGCAGTATTTTCATTTAAAATTTGCTTGTCATGAAAAGAGCGCAAGTTTAATTAACTGCAACAAATTTAAAACATTTGTAAACAAATTATTCAAAAGGGGTAACTGTGCATAGTAGAAGTGCTGCATAAAATTTCATATATTTTTTAATATTTTATGCGTGAAGATTAAGTACGTGTCGCATAACTTTTTGTTTATTATTCACAAGAGCATGCACATACTCAAATAGAGTAGGAAAAAAATGATTTTTGCAAGGTCACCTTGCAGTGGTTCCCGATACATTTACATAAATTTGTAATGTTGTTTCGCTTTATATTGGAACAAATAAGCGATGTAAAAATATAGAGTGCTTCTTAAACTACACGTACTTATGATCAATAAATTGTGTTTATAATCACGTACTTTTCTTTTTCCATCAATGAATATTGCAATATTGTTTTTTAAGATAAATAAGGACCTAGAACAGACATTTATTTGCAAAAAAAAATTTAATAGAACATCCTGTATATGTAGAGAAAACCAGAAAAGTTTTATTAACCATTGAAGCCTTTATATGCATATGTTTCGTATAAATACGAAGGTAAAGTGCTTCTTTTGAACTTTTAATAAAAGTACTCTTTAAATGTCTTTCGTGTACATTGGGCCCACGCATTGACAAACTGGTATTTTATTCAATCTACTGTTTATGTTTACGTAAAGGAATATCACTTGTTTATAGAGGACACTGTTCCTTGCAAATAATGTCACGTTGCTATTGAACTCTCCTATAATGAAGGCTGCATTTATTTTTAATAATAATACAGCAGAGAGCAGACAAAAAAATTTAACAAAAGAATTTTTTGACTAAAACTTTTTGCGTATTTCTGGACCAATTTTTTGATAATAATCAAATGAATAAGGTAGAATATTTATTTAATATTCTTCTCGAGACATTCGAGAAAAGTTCAGAGGATGTAATAAATAAACGAACAATTGAAACAATTGAATAATTAATTAAACATGCTTATAATACATTTGCAATTACATTATTTGCAAAATAACAAACCGATGGTTAGAAAATGAATATTAATGATACGTAGAGGCTGCGGTGAGTTATTCTGTGAAACTAATGACTAATTTTGGATTTTACTTGAGGCTATGGCATTAATAAATAAACAAATATCTGTAATTACAGTACCTACCTATTGTTTGTTTTTAAAAACCGGTTTAAAGAAAATCTAAGAAATTGTGTACATACAGAGAGAACCGCAATCAGATTTTATTTTCTTTCTAAAGAAGTTAAACAATTATTAAGTGTCTACCAAAATAACGAAGTTTACTAAATTCTTCAACTCTATTTTTGCTAGCAAAAAGACTGTGCATTAAGGCATCGAACGAATAATAAATAAACCAAGAGATGTGATGCTTTTGTAAATGTCTATCTAAAGAAGCGAATGTTTTAAAGAAAAAAATGTTGTAGCGATTTCAATCAGTATATATTTGGACATGTAAACGGTTTCCAATTCTACCACAAAACTTATTTGAGTCTTGAGGCATTGCCATTAGCGCATGTTATAAAAAAAGAAATGTAAACAAGTACTTGCCCCCTGATACCCTTTTGCCTTATTGATTTAGAACATTGAAGTAACTGAACTAATAATTATTAATAATATTACATATATTTTCTCGAACAAACTTAGGTTTATTTGCAATTAAGCTTTATCCGCGCCTTCGCTTTCGTGGATGTCTTAAATATGGGCAATGATTATCGATGATCACATAAAACTAATTTTTTCTGCTCCTCGAGAACAGTATCCTTCATCTAGATAACATGTACCCTATGTCCTTTTCTAGGTCCTTGATAATGCGCGTACAAAATTTCATGATCGCCGGTCCAGTAATTAAGGCGTGAAATCATAAATTCCCATTTGCATTTATAATATTAGTTAAAATAAAACTCATAATGCTATTCTACACGTATATTCAGTTGTGGTTTATGGATATACTTTT